AGGCCGCAAGATGAGGATGATCACTAAATCATAATTATTTTTTTAAAAATCTTACAATAAAAAAAATTCATGCATTTAAAGTAACCTGCAAATGGTTGATAAACCTTAAAAAACAATGGAATTAAACCATTAATCAATCGCTTATTCAACCATCTATGTTTCACTCCCTTTCACCATCTTTGAGGAAGCTTCATGATTCCCTCCTCCCAGAAGTTGATATCTTTTTGGGTGATGTACTCGTCTAAATGGTTTTTATAGGATCCAGTGAATTGAAGTTTTTCCATTAAGAGAATTTAGTTGGGATAAAAATAAAATCAGAAGGAGCAAAGGCATTTGTATACGGTGGGTGTCGTTGGGCATCCCACCCAAGTTGTATTAATTTATGTCGGGTCTGTAAAAAATCTTGAAGTCCGGCGTTGTCTTTCGATTAGTCAATTCAATATATTTTACATTGATTGCTCGCTTAATTAGTCCCAATAGGAAAAGCATCTGTCTGAATCCAACGATTGATTGTGAGGAAGGAGTTCAAAATATAAAATACTCCTCCAATCCCACCAGAAATATGACTTATCCTTCCGATTTATTTTGTCTTATTGAGTGGCAGACGCCGGCTCATTTTGGTGGTGTTTGAGCGGAGGACCGTAGGTGAATATGTAGTTGATTAATTTATTTCTGTGAAAACGTCAAACTATCCAAATGGTAATTCATGTTTTTAGATGATCTAAGTGCATCACAATGAAGAGTTCGAATTCCAGTCGAAACCATTGCATTCCTTGGGAAAGGTATAAATGCTCTTCTTCTCACCCACCTATGGGTAAATAAATAGCTTTGGATGTCAACTAATCTAGGATGAAAGCTCTGAATTCAAAATCTGCGGAGATTCGATTGGGGCCCTTGTGGCACGCAGTCTATGTGCAAAAGCTTTTGGATTTGAAGGTCTGATGAATTGAGCCCGTTTTTACGACTCTCATAAAATAAATTATTATCTAATGAATTATTAGTGTCAGTTTCTTTATAATTATAATAATTGCTCTGTTCCTAACATAGAGCACTACCTGGATTTATATTCTGCTGTAAATATGCATACTGATCGCTAATATTATCAGTATATATATATATATATATATATATATATATATATATATATATATATATATATATATATATACGGAAATTAAATAAAAGATGGTATGTACCAAAAGATATATTTATTATCACAAATATTCTGTTGAATAAATAGTTTAGACGGTTTCAATCAATCTAAAACGATATTTTCTGCTGTAGGAATAACTTTTCCTATTTTGCATTATTATTGATATATATATATATATATATATATATATATATATATATATATATATATATATATATATATATATATATGTATGTATGTATAATATTTGATAATTCGTATGGATGATTCCAAAAGGAATATAAATACAAAGGAAGCTAAATGTAAGAACGGAGCAAATCATAATGAGGAAAGCGGAGACTTTAGAATTACATGGTAATATTTTATTTCGCAAGATCGATTTGTTGTATTTAACCTCTTGTTCTGAAAACTGAGTTTTATATTTCTTTTTTGAGCTTATTAACAAAACACTGACACCATACGGGCATTACATTCTGGGAAATAGATAAAAATGGTCAAATTGATGGCTATACGAATATTTTCGTCGTTGTCGTTATATACATTAAAAAGACAAACGCGTAAAAATGGATATTCTAAAAGCCTGTGGGGTTAAAAACAAATAGACATATAACACTGAATTCATGCCAATTATTTCGTGACTAGAAGGAAGCATTTCGGTAATTTGATGAGAAATAGCTCCTCTATGACAGTCAAAACTAATAACCTGACTAAAATTTTATATCTCGGTTTATCTTATACAGAGTAATGTAGCCTTATTTAGACCAGCAATTCTAGACTCTCTCTCTCTCTCTCTCTCTATCTTGATATATCTGTGTGTGTGTGTGTTGTTTATTTAGGCAGCAATCCTTCTTTCATACACATTTCATTGAATACGACAGACAAGGTGCTTTGATTTATTTTTTTAAAATAAATATATCATCTACATAACGAACATATATTCTCAATGATATTAGTACCCCATATCTCCTTACTAACTATAGCATTAAATCTACACATGAATTCCTCCAAATACTTACAAGTGCAAAACTTAAAACAAACCAAGGCATTCTTGCGTCTCTTGCCGTAGAGAATTTATTTACTAACTTTCCTGTCAGAGAAACTATTGATATTATCATTAATTCGGTGTATAATAATTTAATTCCACCTCTATCAATCCAACCCAGTATTTTGAGAAAACTATTGTTTACTTGAACCACTAGAGTTCCTTTTTATAGCAAGAATGGTACCATTTACACACAAACTGATGAAGTAACTATAGGAAAACCTCTCAAACTGTGTTTCTCCAATTATTATATGTCCTACGTTGAAAACAAGGTTTCGACCCTAGCTGGAGGCAACCGGATGTCTAGCCACACTGATGAGCTGTGAAGCAGCAAAACAGTCTGTCTGTGGATGACGGGGTGTGTGTGTGTGTGTGTGTGTGTGTGTGTGTGTGTGTATGCTAGCCAAATGCGAAACGTTTTAATCTGATATAAATAGTAAAACTCTTAAATATACACTTAATGAAATTGAACGAATCATATCACTTTTCTTTGAAAAAGTCTTGATCTTATGCACCCACAAGAAGTAAAAAAAAAAAAACTGCCTAAGCTACAAAAACAACTGTCACTTCCCCTGGAAGTTATGTCAGGATACCACTGAAAGAATTTATATAAAGTGCCAACTATTTAGAGACACTAGAGTATTTCAGTTAAGGTAGGGTTGTTATTATAACGACAAATTAAAACTTGCTAGATTTTTAGTAATCCTATCCCTCTCGCGGTCAATTAAAACTGTCACCTCTTTTTCCATGTATATAAATTGCAGTTATAAATTTTGATATTTGAAGTTGTAATTTGCATTGAAATATTTCTAAATTTTCTTTTGAAATCCAGAAATAAAAACACAAGCTAGTAAATGCTCAACAGTCTCCTCACAGATGAGGAAGAGACTTGAAGGAACAGAAATGTGGCTCTACGGAAGAATGCTAAGAAAGGAGAACTTGGAAAAAATAATACTCACAAGCAAGAGTAACGCATTATCTATTTGTTGAGCTTTTATAAATGAATAGAGGGAAAAGATAAAGATACCAAATACAAAATTTACTAAGGGCTACGAAAGGCCGGAAGTTGCAAAGAGCCATGATCGAATACGTTCTGAATTGACAGGGCAAATAGACTAAGAATCATATTGTTAAATAAAATCTATAAAAAAAGAAGATATGAGGTACCTTGCCTCTAACGCTTCCTGCGTCTAAATCTCACTTTAGACTCCAAATGTATCTCGTGTATTCGTACTACTGGTAACGAATGTTAAAGAAATGTCATTTCTTTGTATCGCTCCAGAAAATACCTAACTCCTCTGGTCATGCGCTCTCGTTACAAGAGTCAGGTCAGATCAAGAATGGGGTATTGCTGCTATATTGTATTTGTGGTCTCACAATTCTCTGACGTTAAGGGTGACGGGATGCTCAGTCCCTTATAAGAAGATCTACGGTATCAACATCTAATTATCCACAGGGAACTTTAAATCGAAGAAAGCAGTAACATATTAATATTGTTTTACTTATACAGTGGAACCTCGGTTCTCGAACGTCTCGAACAAATCAGTTTTCGAACAGAAAATTCGAGATGAAAATGACTCGGTTACCGAACAAAATTTCGGTTCTCGAACAACAAAGCCGAACCGAGTTAACAAGAACGGAATAATTTATGAGTCAACCGCCATGTTGTGACGTACATTTCTTTTAAAATTTTATGGTACTGTGACGTTTTACTACATTTATTCCTATTGGAAAAAATAATTTCGGTTTACGAATATTTGGGTTACGAACAGCCTTCAGGAACGAATTTGTATTTTATATCGGCTCTGTTTTATATATTTTACACTGAGCACTGTCTGTATAGCGTACCCTTTTGCCTTTATTATATATATATATATATATATATATATATATATATATATATATATATATATATATATATATATATATATATATATATGAAGAAATATAGTTATAGTTATGCTATATTTATAGAATAAAGTGCTCAATATCAGAGATAGAGGTTATGTAAATATAAAAGTGGATATTCAAGTCAACATTGACTGTTTCATGCTAAACGCAATCATCAGACCTGATAGCGTTTAGCATGAAACAATTTTCGCCTCTGAGTGTTGAATTCAATGTTCACTTATATATATATATATATATATATATATATATATATATATATATATATTGGACATTGAATTCAACACTCAGAGGCGACAAACTACTTCATGCTAAACGCTATATATATATATATATATATATATATATATATATATATATGACCATCTATATTTGGCTATTTGATTTGAGAATTTATGGTTTGTTGTTCATGCTTGTATTACCGCAGAACAGAAATGTAGTTTTCTTTGACTTTTAAATTGTTTTCTCTTATTGTAAGGATGCATAATCATTTTCAATCATGTCTTTCGTATACTCAACTACTGACATTTCAAGCAGTGACATCCTCGTTATTATTGTCATTTGCTTTTGTTTCTCACCGAGTTCCGTTAACCAATCACTTCACTCAAGGTGAAATCTTTATCTGCTTTTTAATTTTTAATTTTCTAAAAGCCCCCAAGATTCGTATGTTAAGAACACAAACAAAATATTGCTTTCTTTAATTTTCATATTTCCGATTTCCTATATGATTTTTCTAAAAAGTAATTTGTGATTTCCTTTCCTTTATTTGTTTCGGCATTTATTTGGTTTGATTTTCCTTCCGTTTCATCTTTTTCGACGTTCCATTTCTCTCCTCTTTTTCTAAGTTTCCATTTTGAATGCATTTACTTGGGTTTATTTTCGTCTTGCTATTTAAAGCCTGTTTCTTTCTTTCTTTCTTTCTTTCTTTCTTTCTTTCTTTCTTCGTTTCACGTGTTCTTCGCTCCTTCCCTTAATTTTAAACTATATTTCTTTGCATTTTTATACACGCTCTTTTTTTCTTCTTTGCAATTTCTTCTTCTCTCGTTACATTTATTTCTTTTCTTCTTCACTCGTTTCACTATTTATCCTTGTTTTTAATCTCGGTTTAGTTTTTTCTCTCTTCTTTTCAGTCTTGATGCCTCGACCTTTTTTCCTTTCTTTCTCGTGTCTTTTTCTCCTTTACTTTCACGTCACTATTTCTTTTCTCATTGTTTTATGATCAAGCTCTCTTTTTCTTATATTCTGCTGACTCTCTTTATTTCTTTAATTCCCTCTATTCTTTGCGTTTACTATTATGTCCAATTCTATAGCTAAAACGAGCTACAACACAATTTCATTTACAATGTTTTGTATATTTTTAACTCTTCCCTGATAGATTATACCTAATATCGTCAGATATCTAGAAATAAGCTATATGAATTAATACAAAAAATAAATATACATAAATTTGCGTATTCTAAATAGTTGTATGCTTACAAGTATCCAATACCCAAATATTAAAATGATGGCAAAAGTGAAAGCCACATTTTAAGGATTTCTGTTCAAGACCTTTTCAACATTATAAAAGCAAATGAAATCTTAATTCCATTTTTACTAGTAATCAAGCATAATGGCAATCAAAAGATATATGGTAGATAACGATTATCTGCCAGCCGAGTTCAAATTCCCGCTTAATTAGTATTTTTTCTTTCAGACAAATGCTCTTTTGAGCGACATGAATCGATCTCTTCCTTCCTCTCAATAATGTGTTAATCCTCAGAGCAAACTGGGCTCTTTAAATTTAGTGGGAAGTCTGTCTAAAAACATGGATTTCAAACCGCGGAGCAGGTAACCGAAACCATTCCAGTATCTTAAACTTTTTTTTATATCATAATGGGACATAGAATTTTACAAATATTACTAAAATAAAAAATAAAAACAATATAGCGGGGAAACTAGTGGAAATATCAATAAATTATCAGTATCTGTAAAAAAAAAAGAAGAAATAATTGTGCTAGCAGCAATATTATTAACTTTAGTATCACAGCAAATACATAATAATGTTGCTCTCGCCACGAGCAACAACAATCTCAGAAATATATACGGACAAGGTTGATATTTCTAAAAGAAGACATTTTTTTTGCACAGCAGTAGTGAAAGAATTGGTGACGCAAACAGGAACGCTATTTTTAAAAGAATTCGACAGAAACAAGTATACTTTCCAAAAATGTTTCCCGGTTTTATTGTAAATATTGATTCTGTAATATATATTTTTTTTTACATTTTTCAAAATAATATTTCTTAAAAATCATTTTATCCTTCCTTTTCTGTTTAGCCCTTATCTCTGAACAGCTTACCCCCGTCAAGCCTGTGCTTGACACCCACTGAGTATGTATTGCGATATTAAAGCAAGTAATAGCCAGCACACAATTAAATAAATAAATAAACAGAAATGTCAAATCTTCTAAGAGAGAGACTGAAAAAAAAAACGTTAATTACTATACTTCCATTAAACTCAGATGAAGGAAGATGTAAAAAATATATATTCAGATTTTTATGAAAAGGAAGTTTAAATATTCAAATACAAACAGCAAAGTTATAAAATATGAAATGTAAATTTAAAAAATATATTAAAATACAAACACGCATTGAAATAAGTTTATCAACAAACAAACACACGTCGCAGCCTCTGGAAAAAATACTTTAAAACTTGAACATCCATCCGCCATTTTGTATGTCTCCCGCGGCTCCGATACAATACCGCTCATCCGCTTTTGCACTTAGACTTGTCTATTTTTTAAATTATTTTCGCCCTCCAGACGCCAAAGAGCTCTAATGCCATAGACATAACAGTTATACAAGCTTCCTATGTGGAAACTGAATAGCAGAATCTTGGGAAAAGGAGAAAAATCAATAAAAATTAAAAGGAAATTGACACCTTTGCTGGTGTCAACATGTTTGGTGGCTTCTACAAGATCCCGCCACCCGCCAACCATTTCTGTTTTGCGCCAGCAAGCATTATAATGATATTGATGTTTATAACGAGGTTTGTAAATGATTATTAATAATAACAACAGCAAAGAGGATTATCGTTTTGTTAATAAAGGTAGGGTTGCGGAAACTGAAGAGAAATATTCAAAACCAGCTTCATAATGTCAATAATAATCAATAACAGAAAACTGAGAAACTGCTGATTGATATAATATAAAATGGACTTACAAAATTTTGAATGAATTTCAACATTATGCAAATCATGAAGATGATATTAATATGTACAAAAGATTTGACTTAATAACTTACGCGACGAAGATGGATTTTTTTATCATCATTTATGATGATTTCAGAATTTATAATATAATTAGAAAGAGTAACGTTAAAGTAAACAGTAATTATCGTCTCTTTAAATCATATTAATCAGCGATTAATGGAAATCATATTAGGAAGGGTGATGGCTATAGAACAATGTGCGTTGAGGTTTAATGGATAACAACTTGTTTAAGAAATCGTATGGCCGATTTCGAATTTCAGTCGGGTTCATTAATTAACACACGCGCAAATGAATCCATCCAATAATCTATGTCTTGAATAGTAGGACAGATTGTATCTTATAGTCTTGGTTGGTAACAAATCTACCACAGAAAGAAACGGTAAACTAGTGCGGGAAAATATTCTGCCTAACCTAATCGTAAAAGAATTTATCCGCCAAGCGTGTATCACGTATAGTGCTTAACTGACTGAATGGTAATAGTAATATTTAGCTATTTCCTTATATGAAAACATTCGGATTACACTAACCAGCCTGTGCTATTGTCGATTAAAAGACACAGAATCTTACAATGAAAACGAATTTAAAGAAAATAGGTTTCTCACGTCTATTAACAGTTATTGCTTTTTCCCGTATTCATAGGGGTTTCCTTCCTAACCTTTTTTTGAAAGTCAGTATGTTGATTATGTCATATTTTATATCTGAGTTACATCTTACTTATTATAAAACCCAGGTTGTGTGTGTGTCTGTTCGTTTATATATTGTATCGGATTTCCTACATTTTTCAACCGATTTCAACAAAACTTCACAGGACTACGTAAAATTACCTTGCGGTGGTTCTGACAGCGCTAAAAATTGGAAAAACAATTGTTTTCGCACGAAATCAATTTGAAAACACTATTAAGAATCATGGCTATCGCGAGAATGAAAGGGGAACAACTCATATCGAGTTATACATTATTATTATTATTATTATTATTATTATAAAACCCAGGTTGTTTTGTGTGTGTGTGCGTGTGTGTGGGTGTGTGTCTGTGTAGGTGTGTTTATATATGGGATCGGATTTCCTACATTTTTCAACCGATTTCAACAAAACTTCACTTTTTTTTTGGCAGGTAGTGTTTCTTATTGCCCTGCACACTTTTTTTTTTTTTTTTTACATTCAGAATGTTTTAAAAATTCCATTTACAAGACAATTGTTTATAATAAAATTCTATTCAATCGGTAGACTCAAAACGATTGAAAAGAATGTTTTTCTTTGAGTTTGGGTTTGACCAATTCGTAAAAAAAGAAACAAAAAAAAAAAAAAAAACAAGAAAAACTAATTAAGACATGCGTGTCCGTCAGCCTTAAACAATAATCTTTGTCAATTTTATTTTTCAGTCTTTATGATGGTCGATACTTGATCTATCTCTTCTTAAAGTTACATCCCCGGGCAACGCCGGGCTCTACTGCTAGTTTGGTATATTTGATACCCCCGAGACAGTCTGGGAGAAAAAAAAGATAAATGAAATCAGTACGTAACATACTTGATGGGCTTGAGCAGGGTATGGGAGAAATAACAAAAGGACAAGAGTTATCAACTGCTACAAAGGAACAGTCAGAGGTGGAGGGGTTTGATCACCTACGTCCTGAAGGGACACGGTACATAAAAGAAGAATTATTGTCAGAAATAAAACTATAGTTCTCTTTAAAGTATATGACGGCGTAAACATCAGGAAGAGAGAGAGTTTAACTTTCTATGTCTCCTCATAAGGAAAGCGTGCTTGGAAAATCTGATACTCCCAGCACAGATTGAAAGGCAAGAGTGATAGCGATAAACAACTCATAACATAGTAAGCCCGAGTAAAATGGATGGCGGGACAAGATTTAAGAGAAATAACAAAAAGACAATATTTATTAAGAGCTACAAAAAACAGGAAATGGTGGAGAGCCATGATCATCTACGTACTGAAGGGATACAGAACATAAAGAAGAATAATTATAAATGAGGATAATTACTGAATTTAATTTAAGAGATACAAGGCGAAACATTAAACTTTAAGCTAAAAAATATATCCATGAAAAATAGAAAAATGCTGCTTCTTATCCAGCAATGTCGAATACTACACGCATTGCCAAAAATGGTTTTATAAACACCTACACAAAGGAATGGATCATAGCCGTTCCAGATATTAATCCATTGATAATATATTCAGCAGCTTGAAAGTCCAGGATTAATATCAAAATAATCAGGCAACGCCCAATGCAAGCAAGTTTATCACTTTGCATTGGCTATCATTCTATAAACACTTTTATATGTATCATTCATAAAGACGAAGGTTTTCTTTCAACCCAGTTTAAGAAAATGACAGTACATTTCTTGGTTTATGTATCTCTCTATTCCGATTATTGGGATAACATTTACCGTGCGGAAAGATTAAGGTTGTGATAGGTTGCGGATTGATTTGCAGTTCATGGTTAGTGAATTCTGTTCTCAGTGCGTTTCACCATATCAGGGGATTTTACTAGATTTAGTCTCTGAAGATATTTATATGAAGCAAAGTCTTATGATAACTATTAACTCATCAAACCTTTACTAATATGAATAATGACGGGGCATATACTAATTGGACACAGGCACACACACACATATATATATATATATATATATATATATATATATATATATATATATATATATATATATTATCAGTATTACTGATCTGCAGCTAAAGTATTTATTTTTTATGCATTAACAATTATCGTAAATCGAAAAAATAAAATCTTGCTAATATATATAGATTTAAAAACTATTCTGTTGCAAATTTTTGAAACTTATTGACTGATATTTGCAAATATTAGGAGTCAAGTAGGGTATAGGATATTTCCACACATAAAATGTTGGACAATTATTATTGTATTTATTTTCACCCAAAATTAAAGCAACAATACAAAGTTTAAAACGGCTCTTCATCATACATAATAGACATACA